GGCAGTCTTCCCTATTATTAACATCCCCACCAGAGTGGTGCATTTGTTATAATTGATGAACCTACATTGACACTTCACAGCCACCCAAAGTCCATAGTTTACCTTAGGGTTCACTCTTGGTGTTGTACATCCTATGGGTTTGGACAAATGTATGTCACGTATAGTATAGTATAGTATAGTATAGTATAGTATAGTAATTAGTGTAGTATATACTACATCACAGAATAATTTCACTGCTCTAAATAATCCTGTTCTATTCATCCCTCTCTCCCTCGAAACCCTAGCAACCACTGATCTTTTTACTCCATAATTTTGCCTTTTCCAGAATGTTGTATACATAGTTGGAATCGTATAGTACATGACCTTTCAGATTGCCTTCTTTCACTTAGTAATATGCATCTGAATTTCGTCTTTTCATGGTTGACACCTCATTTCTCTTTAGTGCTGTTATATTCCATTGGATGTACCACAGTTTATCCATTCACCTGCTGAAGGACATCTTAGCTGCTTCCAAGTTTTGGCAGTTATGAATAAAGCTGTTATGAATATCCATGTGCAGTTTTAGACATTTTTCAACTCCTTCGAGTAAATACCAAGGAACACAATTGGTGGATCCTGTTAAGAGTATGTTTAGTAAGAAGCTGCCAAACTGCCTTCCAAAGTGGCTGTGCCATTTGCATTCTCACCAGCAGGGAATGGGAGTGCCTGTTGCTCTGCATTGTCAGCATTTGGTGCGCAGTATTCCAGATTTTGGCTTTCCTACTAGGTGCCTTGTGGTATTTCATTGTTCTTTTAATTTTCATTTCCCTAATAACGTATGATGTGAGGCATTTTTTCATATGCTTTAGTTGCCCTCTGTGTATCTTCTTCAGTGAGATGTCTGTTTAGTTCTGTTTTCATGAAAAAACAAAAACAAAAAAACTTTGTTCCCAATGTGAATACATTTCTTCTTAATACTTTTCTGTAGTGCTTAAATTTTTTAGTGATATTTCATTTAGGAGAAAAATAAAGCTAAAAGAAACAATGTTTTCTTTAAAAATCCAGGGTTGGAAAGAGGACTGAGAATGAAGCTAGTTGGTTGTGTCTGCTACCCTGCTGTCTCCCCACCTTAAGCCTTTAAACAAACACAGCTTTCACAACTCTCCAAGAGAGAAGAGCTTGGTTAAAATAACACTACACACACCCTACCTATTTCCTTTACTCAGCACCCTTTAATGTATTAAAGAACAGCTTTTTTTTTTAACTCAAAATAGGAAACACCACAGTCTCCTATGAGCATACATTTAATACATTCATAAGACTTCAAATGAAAAACATTATTCATGCTACAAGTCTTCAATCTTTCTTAGACAACACAAAACACAGTACTCAAACTGCATATTTTAACAAGAGGAACATGAAATCTCATTTTGACACAGACAGAATTAAAAAAATAAAACCAATGTTGAACTAATCCAGCACCAGCAGACTTCCTTAAATCCCCATCCTATCGCACCTTTGAACAGCTGCCTTCTGTACTCAACAATTCAACATAAAAAAAATTAGATAGTTAGAGGTGCATCACTGAATGATTGATTACTACAACATGCTTAAAAAAAATCCAACTTATTTGCAGAATGTTGGAAAAGGGGAATAAGATTGAGTGAAACTTAAAAGTATAGTGGGAAAACTATAGGGCATTTGTTTCAATTCACTGTGATTTCAGAGCACAGGAATTTTTTTTTTTAATTGGGAAATTTGGGGAGGGAAATTTGGAACAGACAGGTAGACAAATTGCTGTTTTGTCCTTCAGTCTAGTTGTGGAGGACACCGCTTCATTGGCCCATGTTGGTATTATCATTGCACTCTTCCTGGGTGAGGCAATCAGTTGCCAGTCATTGGTCGGCCGCTCACACTGGCTGCCAGCCACTCACATAGCTCACGGCAGCCCACTGCAACCCCACTGCAGCCTACACCATTGCTGGTGACTCACAGCAGCCCAGCTCCAGGTCCAGGTTGAGCTGTTGTTCATCATCTTAGCTGTAGAGGGCGCAGCGTCACTGGCCCTCAATGTGGGATCCGAACCACAGTCCTGCTGCTCAGAGCTGGCGCTCCCAAGTGAGTTCTTAACCAGCTGAGCCACTCGGCCAGCCCAGGAATTTCTGCTCAAAGGTTAGCATAAGGAACTAAAGATGTCAAGAAATACCCTAACATTTATAAAAGGAAGCCTGTACTAATGTCTATGAAGAGCTTACAATACCATGGAAAAATATTAAGTTATAAAGTTAAATGAGAAAGAATACAAAACTGTATGTATAATATGATCTCAACTATGTAAAAACAAACCAAAAGTTGCCCTAAAAAGGGTCAAAAGTACAAAATGTTAAGTTAGTGGTTGTATTTAAGTAGTGTATCAACAGTGATCATTTTCTTTCTTTTACTTTTCTGTCTTTTCTGAAATTTTCTCTACTGGATTTTTAAAATTATTAGTTACAAAAAAAGGAAGCCTGATAAAAGTATTCCGCTGTGTGTGAGGAGTAACTTCCCAGAGGTTAGAGGGCTTAGGCCTCTCCTCCAGGCAGGCGCAGAGTTTCACCAGATCCTGCCTGATGGAAAATGCTGAACCAAACAGAAATGTCATACATTTACAAAAAGAAACAAATAACCCATACTTGGCAAAAACCTATATACAGCACAGTAGTAGCTCCTTAATATTAGAATTAAACAAGAGGACAGCTATTTTCTCCTGTTTTCTGTGCACATGTCAAGTTTCAAAAAAGCTATTATCACAGTAACTTTAGAAAGGTAATCCTGGTTTATAAACAGAAATAAAACAGCACTGTAACAACAGTGAACAGAAAAAAGCGCAAAATTTAGAAAATTATAAAAAGTGCTTTCCATAAAAATGATTCCCTTTAAAACATTTACTGTACACACTTTAAGGTCCCCACTGACCCCCTCCCCCCCAAAAAAGAGCAAACATTTTCTACCAAAGTATCCATTGATTTGTTCATTCAACAAACACTGATGAAGGCTCATAATGTGCGAGGCACTGGGGTCTCAAAGAGGAAACAGATTTTTCCCTGCTTCAAGGACTCTTGGTCTTCTCAAAGTGGGAGGTGGACACATCACCAACCACAATACAGCAATTTAAAGCAGATACCACTGCTTTCTTACAATCAAAGAATATGCTACAATTCTCATTGAATTATTGTACTTACACAAAAGTCCTTGGAAATTTTCCTGATTTACTAAGAGGCAAAAATGCAACCACTTTCCCTTGATAAATACTTCTAAAAAGGGCAGGTATTAAATTACATTTTGTGATACTTGCCCCTAAACATCACAATACCTAGTGAAGTCAGTTAACTTTCTTTTAAGCAATGGAACATTTTTTACTCCAAGAATGAGACACTTTGAAACTGAAAATAAGTAACCAGTCTCTATATCTAGATCAAGACTAGTCAGTTTCATCAAAAGCTGAGACTCAGGAGTACAAATTTCAATTAAAATCTTCAGTCTCCTCTTCCATCCGTTGATTTTCAATATGCTCCTGTGTCAGCCGCTCCAGGTCTTTCCTCACATTCGGGTGGTCTTCCAGATCTTCATAGAGTGATCTCACGATGTCCAGTCTCCTGTAATTCTCTGGCTTAACTAGGCTTCGGACAACCTGAAGGCATCGCTCTTTCAGGGTGTACACTGTACAAGGGCAGAAAACCAAAATCCTCAGCAGCAGACTCAGGAAGGACTTGGGACAAGGAATGAGCAAGAGGTTTTGCCAACTATGGCAATTACATTTACTACAGATGGACCTTACTTTGGGCAAAAAAAAGTGAGTACATGTGTTGTGGCAGAGTGTGACTTGATGTCCCCAGTGGACATCTCATGATATTTATGATCTTGTGTAGTAACTTCCCCTTGAAAGTGGGCTGGGCCTGTGATGTGCTTTAATTTAATAACTGAATGTAGGTGAAGTGACACTGTGGCAATTCTGGGCTTAAGCCGTAAGAAAGCCTGGCAACTTCCGCTTTTACTCTCTCAGAAGCCCTGAGCTACCCTGCAGGAGAGACCACACAAAGAGGAACAGGCACTGAGGCTACATGGGAGAGCCCTCAGCCAACCTGCCAGCAGAAGGCAGCCACACCGACAACCACCAGTGAGCAGAATAACCACCTAGCTGTGCTGAGCCCAGGCTGCAGAATCATGAACAAATCAAACTGTTGTTAGTTTTGGAGTAGTTGTCACACAGCAATAGATAACCAAAAGAGTGTATAGTTGGATTTTGGGGGACCTTAAATCCAATTTTATACTCACTGGGGAGCTTATTCCTTAAGGGTATCCCATGAGGCAAAATTTATTCCATCTAACTTATCAATGATCATTTTTGTCTACCCACTTCTTTAAAACAGGGTCTATATACCCATATTAGTTTAAACCTTATAAAGCTGCAGGTATTTGGGTGGGTTTTTTTTAACCCACAAGAACATCAGTTTCTTAGGGTTCAACCTAATAAGATGACTTGAGTTTTAAACAAGTGGTAAATTATGAGGTTAATGTTCAATTCAGTGATTTTTCTTTTTTAAGCCCTGATTGGCATTGTGAGCTTCACTGGGTTAAATAACATTTTAAAATATAATACTAAAAGTCATATAAATAAGCCATGATATCTCATTCTCTATATTTTGTTCTTCCCCTGAGACTCCAGGGCAGAATTCTGCTCTAAGGCCAGAGAAACAAAAGGCATTCATAATTCTACAATCAGAGTAGAATTAAATTACAATTTTAATTTAGCCCACCTCTGACAAGCCCAAAGAGCTTTTGAGACACTATGACATCTTTGCTGAATACAGGACCTACAAATACATTACTTCCATTTTATTTACGGTGGAGAATAAGAACAGAAAGCTTTAATACCTTGTCGAGCATCTGGCAAAAATCAGCAAGGGCTTGAATCCCACAAGTGGCCTATCTTCTACTTAGTACAACAGCCTTATCTTTTTAAAAGGATGGAACATCAGTACCTGGCAGTGTGATGTTGGCAAAAATAGGCTGTCCATCAACATTGAGAGATGGCACAAACAGTTCAGTTTGGTTAACCAGAAGCCCATCGTATGTCCCTGCATCTCGGAAGAGCCAAAGGTGACCTGTTAAGACAAGCAGAGGCTGTTAAGTAGCCACGCACCTATTTCCTTCATCTCCCTGGACTGATATTAAAATATTTGTGATTCTGCTTAAATATCATACAAAGCCCTTTCAGTAATATTATCTTATTCAATCCTCACAAAAGACCCATTTACAGATGACAGAATAGATCTGAAAAAGCCAAGTGACGTGCTTAAGACAACAGGGCCAGTAAGCAGAAGAGCATGTGCTTGAGGCTCAAATCCCACCCATTTCTACTACCATGGAGGAAAAGCAAAGTAGATGAATTGCAAATCACACCAAACACTGCAAACTAAAAGAAGAGAGAAGGTCACCAACTCCTTAAATCTGAGCTTCTCAAAAACAAGAAGGTGCAAAAACATCATATTGAGAAAGAAGCCAGACAGAAAGGGTACATTCTACAGGAACAGAGGAAACTAATCTATGATGTGAAAAATCAGAAGAGCGGCTGCCTCTAGGAGGGAGGGGACTGAATAGAAAAGGGCAGGAGGAACCTTTCTGGGGTGATAGAAATGTTTGAATCTATTAAATGATCTAGGCGTTGTTGCATTTGTCAAAACCCTAAGATCTGTGCATTATACTGCATGTAAATTAAACCCAAATTTAAGAAACAAATACATCATATAATAAAATTTAAAAAAAAGGAAGAGGGAGGAAGGAGGCAAACCCCCAGGCCTAAGATGTTGAAGGAGAGAAGAGGTGTCTCAGAATAAATACAGCATGTGTTCCTGTGGCATAAACTTACTTGAAGATTTAGTAGGGAAATTTAAGAAATGTAAATGGGGGCCAGCCGAGTGGTGCGATGGTTAAGAGCTGGCTTGGGACGCCAGAGGGCCCCGGTTCGGATCCCACAGGGGGG